GTTTTTGTATGTGACATATATCTGTGATGGTATATGTGAAAATTTAGTGTGTGCAGTTATGTGACATGTCAGTGTGTGGGTATATGTGACAATGAGTGTGTGGGTATATGTGACAATTAGCGTGTGGGTATATGTGACAATTAGTGTGTGGGTATCTGTGACAATTAGTGTGTGGGTATCTGTGACAATTAGTGTGTGGGTATCTGTGACAATTAGTGTGTGGGTATCTGTGACAATTAGTGTGTGGGTATCTGTGACAATTAGTGTGTGGGTATATGTGACAATTAGTGTGTGGGTATATGTGACAATTAGTGTGTGGGTATATGTGACAATTAGTGTGGGGGTATATGTGACAATTATTGTGTGGGTATATGTGACAATTAGTGTGTGGGTATATGTGACAATTATTGTGTGGGTATATGTGACAATTAGTGTGTGGGTATATGTGACTGACAAATTAGATTGTGGGTATATGTGTTGTAGAGTGGAATAGTCTGTGGGTATTGTTGGAGTGGAATGTGGGTAACAGTATATTGGATTAGCCCTTGAGTGAACTTGAGTTAATATTAGGATGGACTGGGGTTTATGGTAGTGTAAATTAGAGGCAGTGGTAGAGTGAAATAGGAGTATAAGTAGAGTGATATAGTGGTAGATTAGGGGTAATGGTAGAATGGGTAGTGGTAAGTAGAGTTTGGGTCGTGGTAAAATGAAGTAGGGTAATGATAAAGTGGAGTAGGGGTAGTTATAACATATAGTTGGAGTAGTGGTGGATTGTAGTAGGGTAGTGGTGAAGTGGAGTTGAGGTCGTGGTAGAGTAGGGGTATTGGTGGAGTGGAGTAGGGTTGTGGTAAAATGGAGTTGGGGTATTGATAGAGTAGAGTTGTGGAAATGGTTTAGTGGAGTAGTGGTGAAGTAGATTAGTGTTAAAGGTAGAGTTGAGAGAAGGTTAGAGGTTAGTGGTAAACTGGAGTAGGGATAGTGGTAGAGTTGAAATAGTGATATATTGTATTTTGGATAGTGGTATAATCGGGTGGGGTAGTTGTAGAGTTGCATAAAAGTAGAGATAAAGAGAAGTGGGGATATTGATACATTGAAATAGGGATAGTGGTAGAACATAGTAGGGATAGTGGTAGAACGTAGTAGGGTTAGTGGAAGAACGTAGTAGGGTTAGTGGTAGAACGTAGTAGGGTTAGTGGTAGAACGTAGTAGGGTTAGTGGTAGAACGTAGTAGGGATAGTGGTAGAACGTAGGAGGGTTAGTGGTAGAACGTAGTAGGGTTAGTGGTAGAACGTAGTAGGGTTAGTGGTAGAACGTAGTAGGGATAGTGGTAGAACGTAGGAGGGTTAGTGGTAGAACGTAGTAGGGATAGTGGTAGAACGTAGGAGGGTTAGTGGTTGAACGTAGTAGGGTTAGTGGTAGAACATAGTAGGGTTAGTGGTAGAACGTAGTAGGGTTAGTGGTAGAACGTAGTAGGGATAGTGGTAGAACGTAGTAGGGATAGTGGTAGAACGTAGTAGGGTTAGTGGTAGAACGTAGTAGGGTTAGTGGTAGAACGTAGTAGGGATAGTGGTAGAACGTAGTAGGGTTAGTGGTAGAACGTAGTAGGGTTAGTAGTAGAACGTAGTAGGGATAATGGTAGAACTTAGAAGGGATAGTGGTAGAACGTAGGAGGGTTAGTGGTAGAACGTAGTAGGGATAGTGGTAGAACGTAGGAGGGTTAGTGGTTGAACGTAGTAGGGTTAGTGGTAGAACATAGTAGGGTTAGTGGTAGAACGTAGTAGGGTTAGTGGTAGAACGTAGTAGGAAAAGTGGTAGAACGTAGTAGGGATAGTGGTAGAACGTAGTAGGGTTAGTGGTAGAACGTAGTAGGGTTAGTGGTAGAACGTAGTAGGGATAGTGGTAGAACGTAGTAGGGTTAGTGGTAGAACGTAGTAGGGTTAGTGGTAGAACGTAGTAGGGTTAGTGGTAGAACGTAGTAGGGATAGTGGTAGAACGTAGTAGGGTTAGTGGTAGAACGTAGTAGGGTTAGTGGTAGAACGTAGTAGGGATAATGGTAGAACTTAGAAGGGATAGTGGTAGAACGTAGGAGGGATAGTGGTAGAACCTAGACGGGTTAGTGGTAGAACGTAGTAGGGTTAGTGATAGAATGTAGTAGGAATAGTGGTAGAACGTAGTAGGGATAGTGGTAGAACCTAGACGGGTTAGTGGTAGAACGTAGTAGGGTTAGTGGTAGAACGTAGTAGGGATAGTGGTAGAAGGTAGTAGGGTTAGTGGTAGAACATAGTAGGGTTAGTGGTAGTAGTGGTAGAACATAGTAGGGTTAGTAGTAGAACGTAGTAGGGATAGTGGTAGAACGTAGTAGGGTTAGTAGTAGAATGTAGTAGGGATAGTGGTAGAATGCAGTAGGGATAGTGGTAGAATGCAGTAGGGTTAGTGGTAGAATCAGTTGCATAGCAAACTTTTTTTAGGAGTGTATGCTTTCAAGAGAAGGCCCAGGGGCGAAGCACTCCTGAAGCTGTCGGAGCCCAGGGGCAAAGCACCCCTGAAGCTGTTGGGGCCCAGGGGCAAAGCACCCCTGAAGCTGGCGGGGCCCAGGGGCGAAGCACTCCTGAAGCTGTTTGGGCCCGGAAGTGAAGCACCCCTGAAGCTGTCGGGGCCCAGGGGCGAAGCACCCCTGAAGCTGTCGGGGCCCAGGGGCGAAGCACCCCTGAAGCTGTCGGGGCCCAGGGGCGAAGCACTCCTGAAGCTGTCTGGGCCCGGAAGTGAAGCACCCCTGAAGCTGTCGGGGCCCAGGGGCGAAGCACTCCTGAAGCTGTCGGGGCCCAGGGGCGAAGCACCCCTGAAGCTGTCCGGGCCCAGGGGCGAAGCACCCCTGAAGCTGTCGGGGCCCGGAAGGGAAGCACCCCTGAAGCTGTCGGGGCCCGGAAGGGAAGCACCCCTGAAGCTGTCGGGGCCCAGGGGCGAAGCACTCCTGAAGCTGTCGGGGCCCAGGGGCGCAGCACTCCTGAAGCTGTTTGGGCCCGGAAGTGAAGCACCCCTGAAGCTGTCGGGGCCCAGGGGCGAAGCACCCCTGAAGCTGTCGGGGCCCGGGGGCGAAGCACCCCTGAAGCTGTCGGGGCCCAGGGGCGAAGCACTCCTGAAGCTGTCGGGGCCCAGGGGCGAAGCACTCCTGAAGCTGTCGGGGCCCAGGGGCGAAGCACTCCTGGGCCCAGGGGCGAAGCACCCCTGAAGCTGTCGGGGCCCGGAAGGGAAGCACCCCTGAAGCTGTCGGGGCCCAGGGGCGAAGCACTCCTGAAGCTGTCGGGGCCCAGGGGCGAAGCACCCCTGAAGCTGTCGGGGCCCAGGGGCGAAGCACTCCTGAAGCTGTTTGGGCCCGGAAGTGAAGCACCCCTGAAGCTGTCGGGGCCCAGGGGCAAAGCACCCCTGAAGCTGTCGGGGCCCGGGGGCGAAGCACTCCTGAAGCTGTCTGGGCCCGGGAGCGAAGCACCCCTGAAGCTGTCGGGAGCGAAGCACCCCTGAAGCTGTCGGGGCCCAGGGGCGAAGCACCCCTGAAGCTGTCGAGGCCCGGGGGCGAAGCACTCCTGCAGCTGTCTGGGCCCGGGGGCGAAGCACCCCTGAAGCTGTCGGGGCCCGGGGGCGAAGCACCCCTGAAGCTGTCGGGAGCGAAGCACCCCTGAAGCTGTCGGGGCCCGGGGGCGAAGCACCCCTGAAGCTGTCGGGGCCCGGGGGCGAAGCACCCCTGAAGCTGTCGGGGCCCGGGGGCGAAGCACCCCTGAAGCTGTCGGGGCCCGGGGGCGAAGCACTCCTGAAGCTGTCTGGGCCTGGGGGCGAAGCACCCCTGAAGCTGTCGGGGCCCGGGGGCGAAGCACCCCTGAAGCTGTCGGGGCCCAGGGGCGAAGCACTCCTGAATCTGTTTGGGCCCGGAAGGGAAGCACCCCTGAAGCTGTCGGGGCCCAGGGGCGAAGCACCCCTGAAGCTGTCGGGGCCCGGGGGCGAAGCAGCCCTGAAGCTGTCGGGGCCCGGGAGCGAAGCACCTCTGAAGCTGTCGGGGCCCAGGGGCGAAGCACTCCTGAATCTGTTTGGGCCCGGAAGGGAAGCACCCCTGAAGCTGTCGGGGCCAAGGGGCGAAGCACTCCTGAAGCTGTCTGGGCCAGGGAGCGAAGCACCCCTGAAGCTGTCTGGGCCCGGGAGCGAAGCACCCCTGAAGCTGTCAGGGCCCAGGGGCGAAGCACCCCTGAATCTGTCCGGGCCCAGGGGCGAAGCACCCCTGAAGCTGTCTGGGCCCGGGAGCGAAGCACCCCTGAAGCTGTCAGGGCCCAGGGGCGAAGCACCCCTGAATCTGTCCGGGCCCAGGGGCGAAGCACCCCTGAAGCTGTCGGGGCCCAGGGGCGAAGCACTCCTGAAGCTGTTTGGGCCGGAAGTGAAGCACCACTGAAGCTGTCGGGGCCCAGGGGCGAAGCACCCCTGAAGCTGTCGGGGCCCAGGGGCGAATCACTCCTGAAGCTGTCTGGGCCCGGGAGCGAAGCACCCCTGAAGCTGTCGGGGCCCAGGGGCAAAGCACCCCTGAAGCTGTCGGGGCCAAGGGGCAAAGCACCCCTGAAGCTGTCTGGTATTAGCTAATCTGAAATATCTTTTCTATTTACACCAACACATTTCATTCAACAGAAATGACAAAATGCGGTAATATTTTTTTGTTAACAATAATTACTGTTTTGAGTGTATGTTTAAGTCACTGAGAGTAGAGTTGCGGTTATGGTAGAGTGGAGTTGGAATAATGGCAGAGTAGAAAGTAGTTGTAGTGGTAGAATAGGGTAGAATTAAAGGATGGAGTTGGGTAGTGGTGTTTAGGTATTGGTGGATGTGATATTTGTCAGAACATGAAACAAAAAGTTATCGTATTTTCAATCGCATATTTATATATTTATTTTTTATAGATAAATAAAATATACCATTATTATTACTAAAACTGTTTATATATATATATACATATATGTGCTTACCCAGTTATACTCCGACATGGTGTTTTCTGCTACACACAATAAATAATTAAAAATATCCCAGTCAGAATTTGTCAACAATGGAAGCAAAATCCTTTAAATCCAAAAGTAATATCGTATCTTAAAGCAACAGACATTGTTGCTATTTCTTGTTATATATCAGAGCTGGTCGTTTCTCTCTTGCTTGTTCACCTGTACAGCTAAACCAAACACGTGCACATATCGACAAGAACACAGGATCTGCATAATATTGCATTTATAGGTATTCAAAATAATGGTATATATATCCCTAGTAGTTTACGATACATTAGTCAATATTATGTGTCTGGATCCTGTGCAATCCAGTTTCCAGCCTGTGAAGCGGTGGCTAATTTCCCTCCTTTTAGATACCGAATATCAGTTAAACTGATACCGAGAAATACCTTTTCTCATGCTACATATATTTTATTATTATATATACCTGTAAATATCTGAAAATCTAAAATAACAACACGGACTACTTCGTTTATTATTTGAAACGTGACCCACAATATACGCAAAACGTGACATTGGCGGAGTGTTGATCCGAGGTGAGTGAAGCGGTAAGGGCATTTCTATATTTAGAAATACCAAGCTTGAGTACACGGAGTGTAAGGTGAAGGGAAACTACTCCAAAATAAAACCGTGTGTTCCAGGTTTGTTTACAGACAGTACGCGTGATATTATAATAATGTCTTTCTCGTCATAGTATGGCCATAGCAACTGGCTTGAATGACAGAAATCGACATATTGTGAGTTCATTATATAATTTGATATTGTGTTATCTGATCTATAAGTACATTATACATAGCTGTGATAATACGATTCCAAAATGTTTTTCCGTGTTTAAAAAATTAGACTGGTTAGAGATAACCAACGGTTAGTGAATATTTTCACATATGAATTTAAACAAAATTGCAAAAAAAAAAGATAATTTCATAGCTTTATTTATAGTTTGTTTGTTTTTTGTGTGAAAGGCCGAAATGAGCTATTCTGAGTGTCGATTTAGCCTTTAACGCTCTTGTTTTTTTTAATAATAATAAAAAAAACACTAACCGTTAATAGACTTTAACCTTTGAGAAACCGGGGCATTCACCCCAAAGCCCTCCTATATTATTTTATGGTAACACATTACTGATTCCTTTAACTTTCACTTCTTTGCGATTTTTTAACTCAAATTTTTACATCAAAATTAACTTCAAAAGTTTTAGGTAAGTAATTGAGAGTTCGTAAGTATACGTCGCACACCTCTTCTGGTTGGCATCAGCTACTTAATTGCATTTGTTTTTTAGTCGAATAAATTGCATTACGTAGACTGTATTATCCACGTAAAGAAAGATAATTAAATTTATGTGGTGAAATCCAGCAGAACCAGCTTTCGGACGATGCGCCCTAAACCAGGTACATCAGGACTTGTTTGTGGTCAGTTCCGGAAGAATTCGGCCTAAACACAAACATTACGACTTGCTTGGTCAGTCGAGGTATAGTCCAGTCTGAACACTTGGTCGGTTCTGGAAGATTTCGGCCTAACACGAACATAAGGACATTAGTGAGGGTTGCTTGGTCAGCTCTGGTAAGAATAAAGTCTGATCACAAACAAGGGTTTACCCAGGGGTTACGATCATTTCCGATCTGCTCTACTGGAATATTTGAAGGCAAAATGAAGACACGAGAGAAGAAATTTGGTTGGTCTAGAATGGGTTTCAGGAAAACAGAACTGTCTAATCAAAGACTGTTCACGCTCCTTTGAATATTACAAAAGAACATCAGCCAACTTTAAGATACGTTTGATGTACACCAAAGGACCAATCTAGTCTTCCAGGAACCATCGATATTGCCATGAAATGCTCCGTGGGTGCAGAGAACTATATAAGTGAGCATAACCCTGAAGTATCGAAGATGGAGTTTGCTTGTGTAACAGGTCATTTTTCATGTCAATGCCTCCGCTAGGAATCGAACCCGGGACCCCTGGCTTACTAGTCTGACGCTCAACCAATCGAGCTAAAGAGAAGTTCTCTCTAGCCGAATGGTATATTGCGGCTAGTATTTTACCAGGGTTACACTTGGTCAATTCTGGTACAATCCGGCCTTGTCATAAACACTGGAATTTGATTGGTCATTTCTGATGAAATACGGCCGGCCAAAATTAGAACGTCCAGACTAGCTTGATCAGTTTTGCGGTAACCTGGCATTGCCATGAATATAAGATGTTTGGTAGGTCAATTTTGGTACAATCCGGACGAAACAAAAACTTTTCGGACTTGCTTGGTCAATTCTGTTTGTTTTAAAGACAACGCGAACAAGAGGACTTTTTCCAATAATTCTTCTTTCAAACACCAGGACGTGAAACAGGAACGACGTAACATATTGAAAGGCATATGTTGAGAGACGTAATATTTTGTGAGACGTAACATATTGATAGACGTTATATGGCGTTACAGGCTGAGAGTCGGTACCTATAGAGAGACGTAACCTGTTGAATGACTTAACATATTAGGAGAAGTAACACACCTCTAGACGTAACTTTGAAAACATATTGAGAGATGAAACATATTGAGAGATGAAACATTGAGAAACGTAATATATAGAGAGACGTAACATGTCGAGAGATGTGACATGTCTAGAGATGAAACATATTGAGAGACCTAACATATTGAGAGATGAAACATATTGAGAGACCTAACATATTGAGAGATCTAACATGTTGAGAGACCTAACATATTGAGAGACCTAACATGTTGAGAGACCTAACATACTGAGAGATGTAACATGTTGAGAGATGTGATGTGTCTAGAGATATGACATGTCTAGAGATGAATCATGTTGAGAGACGTAACGTGTTGAGAGATGTGATGTGTCTAGAGATGAAACATATTGAGAGATGTAACATGTTGAGAGATAGGACATGTAGAGAGATATGACATGTCTAGTGATGAAACATGTTGAGAGATGCGACATGTTGAGAGACGTCACATATTGAAAGACGTAACATTTTGAACGCGATGAGAAACAAAATAGATGGTAAGTATACAGAACTTGTATGTAAGTATCAACACAGGTATGAAAAATAACAATAATGTGAATATATGTCGGAACATTTGAATTAGTAATGAACTTTCATGAGCTTTAGACGAAGGACGGTGTGGAAATCGCCATTGGTCCGTGGTTTTGTCTGTCATTAAACAATTATTTTTGTGGCCTTAAATTTTGGGACAGATAAGAAAAATGGCCGACAGGCGACCATCATGTATTTAATAATTAATGATTATTATCACAGTTTCTCGGGAGGAATTTTGAAATTTTGTAAATAATAACAAATAAAAAAAACAAACAAACAACAAAAAAACAAAAAACCCAAAAAAGAAGAAGATAAAAGACCTTCATTTTAAGACCAAATTAAAAAACACTGGAAGCCGATATCACAATCGGATCTCTCGTTGGTCCTGCTTTTAGACAATACCGATCGGGAAATTCTTACTTTGATAACTGAATTCATGACAAATCAATAATGCTTTTGTTAAAAATGTCGAGCCATGAATCTCAAATTATCATCGTGTTCACTTCACGTATCATACTGGGTACCACTGTTTTAGGTCACGTGATAGCAAAACTATGGACATGAAAGCCTCCCTGTCCATATCAAATAGATACATTAAAATATCAATGTATATAATATCAATTAATTAATAATACGTTATAATTCTAATATTCATAGACGAATTCTGGGTAGTGTTTATCAAGCAAATGTTCAAATTATCTAACTGTATTTGCGTTTACAAATGATTCCTGATATGAACGACTCTAAACTAACAGCGTTCTGCCTTAGCTCTGTGTTACACCGACATTTGTAGAATTTAAACCTGTGACCTTTCGTTTGTATCAGATGTTAATAAATTGTAAGACACGTTTCCATGAAGGATATTATGGATTAGTTTGAAGATGGTGATTAAATGTTTATTCGTTTGTATCAGATGTTAATAAATTGTAAGACACGTTTCCATGAAGGATATTATGGATTAGTTTGAAGATGGTGATTAAATGTTTATGTGAGTCTAACCGATATCATTGTTATAAAGCCATCATGTTTTGTTCGTCATTGTGCGCCGTGGTGAAACCTTTTTGCATTTTAAGCTTTTTCGGAAGTTCCACTACCGTGATTCAGCTGAAAATTATTGTCTGAAATCATCCTTAGATAGTCCTAACCAACCGTTGTTATTTTTCAGATCGGTCTGGCATCTAATATGGCCACCGTTTTGAAAACAAACACACATATTTAAATCTTCGTCTAAAGTGCAACTGACGATATCAGGCTGAAAACTTGTGTGAATGTGAAATCGTGAAATTTTGAGGGTGAAATGAGGAGTGTTTTCCTTTACAGCTGATACATTCTGAACTGTTTAAATAATGTAATAGTCATTCCTACTATTGTAATTACTACTACTACTACTACTACTACTACTGCTACTGCTGCTGCTGCTGCTGCTACCACTACTACTACTACTACTACTACTACTACTACCACAACCACCACCACCACTACTACTACTACTACTACTACTACTACTACTACTACTACTACCACAACCACCACCACCACTACTACTACAACTACCACTACTACTACCACTACTACTACTACTACCACTACCACCACTACTACTACTACTACTACTACTACTACTACTACTACTACTACTACTACTACTACCACCACCACCACTACCACTACTACTACTACTACTACTACTACTACTACTACTACCACTACCACTACTACTACTACTACTACTACTACTACTACTACTACTACTACTACTACTACTACTACTACCACCACCACCACCACTACTACTACTACTACTACCACTACCACTACTACTACTACTACTACTACCACTACTACTACTACTACTACTACTACTACTACTACTACTACTACTACTACTACTACTACTACTACTACTACTACTACTACTACTACTACTACTACTACTACTACTACTACCTACTACTACTACTACTACTACTACTACTACTACTACTACTACTACTACTACTACTACTACTACTACTACTACTACTACTACTACTACTACCACTACTACTAC